GATTACGCGTTGAGAGATCTCCTCACCCATACCTCCGTCAGCCGTTATGCAACTCCCAAGGTAGACAAAGCTTTCGACTACTTTCAGTGTCATTACCCAACGAAAGTGCAGCAATCGGTTCCTGCCAATCTCGCAACAACACTGCACTTTGAAGGTGCAAACAACATACCATAGCGAGTAACCTCAGTTGCCAAACGGTTCAACGACTCTTGAATCGTTGGTGCATCATCACCCAGTAAGGCAATATCATTGGCATACTATAAGTCTACGACTCTGTCCTCAGGAAGAAGCTCGACGCCAGCGTTCATTATGTGATATAACGCGTTTTGTAGGAAATTATCTGAGGCAAAGTTGAAGAGAAACGGAGAGAGAGAGAGAGAGAGAGATAGGGCAACCTTGTCGCACCCCACTGAGGACAGGAAATGTGGGTGAAAATTCACCATAGGCCCTAACCTTCTCCGAGGTCTGGTGATAGAGCGCTTTCCGGAGTGAGACATACATCTCGGGTACTCCGTATCTCCGCAAGCAGTTCCATAGTGCGGGGTGATCGATAGAGTCGAAAGCCGCTCTGATGTCTAAAAACACGACAATGGTTTGTCGTCTGTATGTGTGGCGGTGTTCTAGTAGCTGACGGAGGGTGTAGATTTGATCTACACGTCCACGGCGTGCAAGAAACCCGGCCTGCTCCTCGCGGATTTGCTTCTTACGGAATAGGCATAACCTGCGTGGTAAAGCGGACGCCAGCAGTTTCGGCGCTATTTGAATCAGACTTATGTCCATGTGTGTAACAGGCGTTGCGACAGCCCTTCTTGTAGACGCGTAGCAATCCATTCTCCCCACGTGTGGGGTAGACTTTCAGTTTCCCAGATATTCGAGAACAGTCTCACAAGTTCTCTTACGAGAGCATCTCCACCATCTTTAAAAAGGGCAGGTGGCAGGCCGTCTGATCTAGCTGCCTTGTGGCGTTTCAGGTTTTGGAGTTCCTTTCGGATCTCCAATACTGTGGGCGGTCCCGTTGATAGTGACCAGGGTGCACTTCAAGAGAGCTGCTTGGGGCAGCTAACGCGGGTGGCTGGTTGAACTGCGATGTGAAGTGCTCCGCCCACCGTTCCAATCGTCGGTGAAGTGTGTTTATTAACGTGCCGTCTACTTCAAGTCAAGTCAAGAAGCGGCTTTAAGTCCCCCATATAGGGGATGAACATTCAGCAACTACGCAATCACTTCTTTGGAAATTACATGATAAAAAAACGTATGATGATACGTTACACACACAAAAAGCCAATTTAGCAAAGATTTTGTCTAAGAGTCCCAGTGACAAGATCAGCGTTGATAAGAAACCGTGTCAGGTACGGTATCATAGAAGGCTTGTATGTAGTGGTGCGTGCTGCTATGTTTATACATGGAACGAGTGCTAGATGTGGAGATACATTGACTAAGATGAGGGTACAGTGGATGAGATGGGTCAAGTAGTATTCTGGTAGAAAGTTTCTGGTATGCCATAAGGTGCTGTGAAATAATAAACTGCACAAAATACTCAAGGGATATGCCGCTGTATCGACATACGTGTTTGATGGATGTGCGTATGAGTTTGAAGACTTTGATTGAAAGACCCAGAAAAATAACGGGATGCAGAAAGCCAGTGGGGAAGGATACAGCGTTTTGTTTTAACAAAACGCTTTATTAAGTGAGTTGGAGTAGATAGCATCTTCAAACGAATAATGTAAAAGGTGAGTTTTCTGACTTTGTGAAATGTCTCGACGACATGAGAAGAACAAGAAAGATTGTGGGAAATGGTGACCCCAAGATATTTGACGGAGCATGCTCTGGAAACTGCTTCACCATTGATAATGACATGCTGACAAGAGTTCATCACGTCAATATATTGATCACCCTTCAGTACTCCGCAGATTGTTTCACTAATGCACAGTCTTTTGGGGCCTGTGGCACGAGTGAGCTGGAATAGTTTCCGAGTGTTTCCACACCTAGCTGCTGATTTCATCTCCTTTGCACGTAGCGTTCGCCAGGCCTCTCTGCCATCTCTCAAACTCTTTGTGAGTTCACGCCTCAGGGAAAGGTGCTGTTCGTTGTACTCGCGGTCTGCCGGGAGTGCTTGACGCGCGTCGAGGAGTCTGAGAATTGGAGGAGACCCAGTGATTTACAACTCGGCGGGTTAGGCCACAGCTGTGTAAACCGGCTGAGTGCATTGCGTTTTGAATGGTTGTCCAGTGTTGACCTATGCTACTTGGTGGGGTAGTAGTTAGCCTTGCAGCAAACTCGTTTTGATAATCGGCTAGTACGACCGGGTCAGAGAGCTTAACGACATCGAGCTGTTTGCATCGCACCTTTCTGCGACCACCAAAATGCACAGACAACTTGGCACAAACCAGTGCGTGGTCGGAGTCCAAGCAGGCAGACCAATACGAACGGCAGTCTTTCACACACCCTCTCCATCTATAGCTAATAGCTATATGGTCAATCTGACTCCACGTCTGTGCCGAAGAGGGGTTACGCCAGGTGGCGGTGACGCTTAATGCGTCTGAAGTTCGTGCTAAAGATGAACCGACGGTGTTCTGAACATATGCTAAAAAGTCTATCTCCATTATCTGAAGGACAGCTATCAAGGCCATGACGGCCACCAAGGTGAGTTTCATCAGGTGACAGACGGCCAAGGCGTGCATTTAGGTCTCCGGCCAGGATCACGATATCCGTCTTAGGTGCTTTGAGAAGCACATGTAGGTTGTGATAGGCGTCTTTGACTGTATCCGGGCTGCTGTCTGTGGGAGCGTATGCAGAAACCACGAATAAGCATCGTTCATTTCGTTTCTACTTTTTGACCTTACTTGAACTTCTGAGTCTCCCTGCGCATAGTCGGCTTTCTAACGGCATCCAATCCAATAGACCAGCCTCAGCCCTGGCGTTTAAGGGAATGGAAAACGGAAATACCAAACTGAATGGAAGACATACTGAACGAAACAAACAAGCTGTTTATGTCGCAAAAGGAAACCGAGAAGCAACATCAAAAGATTGACGGTCCTGATGGCGTTCATGAGGTAAATTATAAAAACAGGAATCGAAACTCCAGCCGACCACAAAAATACAAACGGAAAAGAAGGAAGACGAATAGCAATTAGTCGAACATGTTGCACTGTCGATCCGGAAGAACTGTTTATCCCGGGGTACAGAACCGAACCTGCATGTGTCCGAGCTCTGTATGAGATTTTATACTCCAAAGCAATATATATATATATATATATATATATATATATATATGTCCAAATCCAGATTGTGTGCCAAATCATGGTACATATGTCGAGATGGTGAGAAGTTCAGTAGCCTTGATGGGATTCGAACCCACGCATGGACGCCGCTTACGCTTCTGTACAGCGCACCGAGGCTACTGAACATTTCACAATCGACATACAAACTTCCAATCTGCCAAACAATAAGTTGAACAATTAACTTTGCCTTAAAAGCTCATTCCGGTGACTTCTGAGGAAAACCTGTCGGGGCAGTCAACTTAGGTGCTAACTGGTGGATGCCATATGCCTCTGTAAGTTGGATGAATAATTCGAATGTGAAAAGATCTGTGCTGTCGGTGTGGCCTCGTAGCTCAGCTGGTAGAGCGTGCGCTATACAAAAGCGTATGCGGCGTCCATACGTGGGTTCGAATCCCACCGAGGCTACTGAACTTTCCACAACTTCGACAT